CTACAAAGAATAAAGGAAAATCAAAATCCCTTTATCCATACTTTATTGGGTTAAGTAAAAGACCCTCATTTTTCTATGACACTTGGGGTCGTTTGGTACAAAAATGAATAATGCATGGATTATTAATGTTGAGATTAGTAATGCAGGGATGAATAGTGTAGTGATTAGTAATGCAGAGTTTATTTTTATCAAGTATTTGGTTCATTGGTTCCAACCCCATTTTTGAATTGGGTTAAAACTTTATAAAAAAACTCATTTCCAATTATACCCTTAAATTATTATGTAATTAGGTTAAGGTAAATAATTGTCGGACAATATTATTTTTTTATGGCCTTCTAACTAGCTATGAGAAGAACAATTTTGTTGTCATGTTTGACTTTTTTTCACTTAAATTATTTGAGGATAAATAATTGTCATCTTAGTAAATTGACTACTTACAAAATGTCAATTTTCAATTAAAAAAAAAAGATAAACTATCAACTTTTAAAATTGAAAAGACGTAAACAATGTAAAACTAAATAAATCATCTACATTTACACATAAAAATTGCAAGTTGTAGTTTTAACATGTATGCAATTTTATAAATTGTTCAAATACAAATAATTAGAAACCACACAAATATTGCCCTTTTAATTAGTTAATGTTAAGCAACTCACATTTCAAATATTGTATTAATTTGTATTGGATTTATGTAGTAACAAACAACTTTCTCTAAATAATTTGTAAGCTAATTTATTTAAATAAATTTACTAGTACAAATATAAAACATAAAATCAAGAAAATAAATAAAATAATTAAAATGATTTGAGGGATATTTTTGTCTTTACATAGACTTATCTCATGGTATTATATCCCATTACTAATACCTCCAAATGGAAGGTATTAGTAATACACCCTATAATACCATGTAGGAGGTATAACTAATTCATGGATTAGTTATAGATAGGCCCAAATTCCTACCAAATATAGTACTAAATAATACCATACATAATATATGAATTATTTATTTTAATGTGGCCTACCAAACGACGAAATTCCTAAACAACCTTTTTCATCTTGTATATCTATTAAACTAAAATAATAATTGTATTAGTACATAATTAAAAATATGTGTATTTTGCCTAGTATAATTGTAATTTTGTACCCAAATAATTCAATATATATGAAGCTCAATTACCACACTACAACTCTAATATAATATAACTAATTAGATTTTTTTCGTTTAATTAAAAAAATTATATTAATATTTATATCATATCAATAAAATATAGAATGTACGTCTTCTATATACATCATTATAATTTAACACTGGTTAAACAATATGTGCTACTTACTTTAATTTTAGCTAATAAGATTAATTTGTAGTATGATTTAATGTTAATTCTGAGTGTGACCAAGTATTTATCAAATTATGAGATATTTCATGGTGAAATTGTCATTATAATATTTAATAGTGGAGATCTATAATAACAAGGGGAGAAAGAATCTTCTCTAATTATGTTCAATTTTAGACAAAATAATATATATATATATTTTTTATATGTAGCTTTAATAAGGAAGCATGGTCACTTGAGATTTAACAATTTATAAAACAAAATCAATTAACCAAACAAGGAACATCATTCAATATTATCTTACATCATTTATCAAGAATCATAGAAGTAAGAGCCCGTTTGGATTGACTTAAAAAAAATAGTTTTTAATTAAAAATAAAAAGTCAAATTGAGATGACTTTTAAGTCATAAAATAAAAAGTAGGGGGAAACCTACTTTTGATTTCTGACTTATTTTAAGTCATTTTTTTACCTTGCCAAACACTTTGTAACTTATTTTAAATTATTTTTTATATTTATCACACTTTCAGAAGTCTAAAACTGACTTAAAAGTATGTTTGATCAACTTTTAAGCCAATCCAAACGAACTCTAAATATAGATTTGAGATACAAAGTAAAATATTAAGACCACCTAATCATAATTTATCTACTCATTTTTTAAGTTCGGATACACATAACTTACCAACACCTAATTATGTGTATGCTAGTAAAAAGTAATTGATATCAAATAATCGATATGACACATAAATTAATAATGCAAATTTGCTAATACACGTCCAATTTTTTACGATAATTTGTCTGTTTTCCTAAAAATAAAAAAATGGGGATCAAATCTAGCAAAATAAATTATTAAAAGATTTATGTTTTTTTAATAAGAAACAAAATCATGAGAAATGGGTGCACGTCGTTAATTCTCCTACACACCCACTCCCACTCCTACATTCTGATGAAGTCGTCGTTTTTATTTATTTATTAAAATTAATTACGTGTTATTTAATATGTAAAAGTTATTTATTTGTTTATTCTTTTTATTTATTTTAATGTTTCTTATACTCCCTAGTCCATCCCTTTAGATTATGTGTCGTGTTTCTGTTTTACGGGTGTGTTTGATATGAGGGAAAACATTTTCTGGAAAATGTTTTCCAATTTTTTCATGTTTGGTTGGGTTAAATGTTTTGGAAAATGTTTTTCAAATCAACTCGTTTTCCTCAAATTTAAGGAAAATGACTTCTCTTCAAAACTTAAGGAAAACATTTTTCAAAATTTTCTTCCAACTTCCAATTAAAAAAAAAATTGTTGAAAAAATCAATTTATTTTGTCCCTACCTTCAAACCAGCCCCCCAACCAAACCCATCCCCCCCCTCCCCAAAAAAAAAAAAAAAATTTAAAACTTGTTTTTTAAATTCAATTTTTTTATCCACCCCCTCCCAAAAAATATTAAAAATTATTTTTAAAAGATATTTCTAATTTCAAGTTTTTTATTTTTTACCCCCACCCACTACCCTCGCCCCCCCCCCCCCCCTCTATCAATTTTTTTTTATTGTTTTTAAAAAATATTTTCAACTTCAATTTTATTTTTTCATCCCGATCCCCTCCCCGGCTTTTCAATTTCAAAATTTCATTTTTTTCACCCTACCTTGACCCCCCCCTCACGCACCTCCTACCCAACCCCCCACCCACCCCTACCACCCTCCCCCCCCCCCAAAAAAAATAATAATTTAAGTTTGTTTTTAAAAACTATTTTCAACTTCAAAATTTCATTTTTTCACGCTACCCTTGACCCCCCCCCCCACACCTCTTACCCAGCCCCCCACCCCAAAAAAAAAAAAATTAAGTTTGTTTTTAAAAAATATTTTCAACTTCAAAATTTCATTTTTTCACCCTACCCTTGACCCCCCCACGCACATCCTATCCAACCCCCCACCCCCAAAAAAAAAAATTAAGTTTGTTTTTAAAAATATTTTCAATTTCAAAATTTCATTTTTTCACCCCTACCCTCGACCCCCCACCCACCCATGCCTACCAGCCCCCCTGCCCCCGGCCCCCCAAAAAAATAAATAAATTTAAGTTTGGTTTTAAAAAATATTTTCAACTTCAAAATTTCATTTTTTCACCCTACCCTTGACCCCCCCACCCACCTCCTACCCAGCCCCTCTACCAGCCCCCCACCCCCCAATAAAAAAAAATTAAGTTTGTTTTTAAAAATATTTTCAATTTCAAAATTTCATTTTTTCACCCCTACCCTCGACCCCTCACGCACCCACGCCCTACCAGCCCCCCCCCCCCCCCAAAAAAAATAAAAAAATTTAAGTTTGGTTTTAAAAAATATTTTCAATTTCAAAATTTCATTTTTTCACCGCTACCCTCGACCCCCCCACCCACCCCCTACCAGCCCCTTTCCCCAAAAAAAAAATTAAGTTTTTTTTAAAAAATATTTTCAACTTCAAAAATTCAATTTTTCACCCCTAACCTCAACCCACCCCCTACCACCCCACCCACCCACCCCACCCCACCCCCAAAAAAATTTAAGTTTGTTTTTAAAAAATATTTTCAATTTCAAAAATTATTTTCTACCCTAGTAAAAATAAAAGATATTTCTCAAAAAAAAAAATCATTCATAAATCAAACACTAAAAATCTTTTCCAGAAAATATTTTCTACTCACCAACCAAACATGAGAAAATAAGTCAAAAATCAACTTGTTTCCCAGGAAAACATTTTCTAGGAAAACATTTTCCATGGAAAACATTTTCCTTCGTACCAAACACACCCTACATGTTAACTCTGCTTCTATAAACTCGCTTACATTATCGATTTCAAGTTTGAATAAATGAAGAGCGTTAAGTTAGAAACAAAATTTCTACCCCATAAGGTCTACTTGTGAAACTACGTTGAGTTTGTTTGTCATTGTTATTTCTTCTACGCATTTCTTAAAAAAAATTAATTAGGAGTTTTTGATTATTTTACACTCATAAAGATATAATCCTTCTTCATTAATTAATAATCTAGGGGAAAAAATAACTTATTTTATTTTCAACTTTTCGTAGTTTCTCATCTTTTAATTAGCGTTGTAATTAATGACGGAGCCGAAATTTCACCAAGGAGCCTTAAAATTTGAAGAAGTAAATACACATCCACAAAAGTTACTCTGTTTTTTGTTATAATATATTGTTTATTGTGTTTTAATTATCACATTATTTTACTGTTAATGTTTTTTTTTCATGATGTGTATTACTTTCCTTATTAATTGTCATACATCTAAGAAGTCACCGAATAGATATAGACGCTAATGAGATATGAAGATTCATCGAAAAGACACACATACTATGCAATTCAGATATGAGAAATAATCTTAACTTCTATGACCCTTGAATTGAGAGTCTTTTGAAAATAATTTTTCTACGATAATTTGAGTAATATTTTATTTTAGTTACATATAGAAAACTTAATAAAAAGCAAATAAAACAAAAATAAAAACAAAAGATATTTCAGACAACAAAATTCTAAAAAAGCTGTTAAACGTACTGAGTGCTCAACAATACCACCAAAAAAATTTCAAAAAAGCAAAAGTAAGAAAGAGAGAGAAAAAAAAAATCATTAAAAAAGTCTCCGGCCCCGGCAATGTCGTCGGTACCGACTATCTCCGGCGAGCACAGTACTGCTTGAGTTGAGCTGAAAAAGGAAGAAGGAAATGCGTGAAACTGTCAAGAAACCTTGTGTTGCTGCTGCTACTGTTGTTGTTGCTGTTGCTGTTGCTACTACTATGACGAAGAAAACTAGTCCGGAAGAAGATGGGGACGTGATAATTATCCCTCCGTTGTGTACATCAGCTAATCGGTCAAGATTACAAGCTGGGTCACGTCGCATTACGCCGACGAATGATGATATGGCTGAGCTCCGGCAGCTGCCGAACGGAGATCTATATACTGGGACATTTTTGGGAAAAGTGCCGCATGGTAATGGGAAGTATTTATGGTCTGATGGGTGTATGTATGAAGGTGAGTGGAGAAGAGGGAAGGCGAGTGGTAAAGGGAAGTTTTCGTGGCCTTCGGGGGCGACTTATGAAGGGGATTTTAAGGATGGGAGAATGGATGGATATGGGACGTTTATCGGAGCTGATGGGGATACGTATCGGGGTTGGTGGGCAGCAGATCGGAAACATGGGTTTGGGGAGAAGTTATATGCTAATGGGGATTTGTATGTTGGTTCTTGGAAGTGGAATTTGCAAGAAGGGGAAGGGAGGTATGTTTGGGGAAATGGGAATGAGTATATTGGAGAATGGAGAAAAGGGGTTATGTTTGGTAAAGGGGTTTTGATTTGGGCAAATGGCAAAAGATATGAAGGGGATTGGGATAATGGGATGCCTAAAGGAAATGGTGTTTTTAGTTGGCCTGATGGTAGGACTTGTTATACTAGTGGTTCATGGGGTGATAGTAATTCATCCAAACAAGAATTTAGTACTGGTGGTGGTAATGGTGGTCAGGCTCTAAGGAGATCTTCTGTGACGATGAATGTGCGTGAAAGGAATGTTAATTTACCGAGGATTTGTATATGGGAATCTGATGGTGAAGCAGGAGATATTACTTGTGACATAGTTGACAATAGGGAGGCTTCTTCTATGTTTGTTCCTAGGAATGATGATGAGGAGGATGAGGATGATGATGATGATGAAGAGAGTGAGAGTTCTGAAGGAGATGAAAGTGGGGATTTTCGGAAGAGTCCTTGCCACTCTGAAGTTGTGGAAATGAAGAAGCCGGGGCAACCAATAACCAAGGGACATAAGAATTATGATTTGGTGGTTAGTCTTCAGCTAGGTATTAGGTAATGCTGCCTCTTATTGCTCTCTTCAGCATTTAGTTCATGTTTTTTGCATTTTAAGAACCTTATGTAGGTGGTTATGTATTCATATATATGCAGGTATTCTACTCAGAAGCACGCCTCAATTACCCGAGAACCAAAGAATGGGGATTTCGATCCTAATGAGAAGTTCTGGACAAGGTTTCCACCTGAGGGTTCCAAACTCACACCACCCCATCAGGTTGTGGACTTCAAATGGAAGGACTACTGTCCCGTAGTTTTCAAGTATGTTTAGTGGAATCCCGGATCCTGCCTTTTCTACCTTTTAGTGGAACAGATTGAATTGTCGTTATTGTTTAGCTAATTAATTGTTGTCTCCTTTTCGTTTATGCTGTTAGGAGTCTTAGGGAGTTGTTTGGAATAGATCCAGCTGAGTACATGCTAGCTATCTGTGGAAGTGATGCACTTAGGGAACTATCTTCCGCTGGGAAAAGTGGCAGCAACTTCTATCTTACTCAAGATGACCGATTTATCATCAAAACTTTGAAAAAGTCTGAAGTTAAGGTCAGTGACTCCGAGCAGCTCAATACCTTTTCCTTTTAGGGTAGGAATGAAGAGATACAGCTGTTAGTTATTTGAATGAGGCGCGCTATTCGATATATCACTTACACTCTTGCTTTACTCTTTAGCAACACATTGATGGTTGAGAAAATAGGATTGCTTTTACTGATTTTCCATGTTACTCAGGTGTTCATTAGAATGCTTCAAAGTTATTATCGGCATGTTCGTCAGTACCGAAGCTCCTTGGTGACAAAGTTTTTTGGTGTACATTGTGTTAAAATGGTTGGATGTCAAAAGGTATGTTTGAAATCTCTTTAATGCTATACAATATCTGGATTTCTGAAGAAGATCAAGTATAGTTCCTCATGCAGTCATTTCCTTGGAGTTCTTACATTCACTTATTCAATGTATAAACCAGACACGTTTTGTTGTTATGGGGAACCTGTTCTACTCTGAACGTGTGATCCATAAGCGCTTTGATTTAAAGGGATCCTCTTATGGCCGTACAACTGATAAGCCAGGAGGAGAGGCCGATGAGACTACTACTCTTAAAGACCTCGATCTCAACTTTGTATTTCAATTGCGACAATCTTGGTATAAAGAGCTTATAAGGTGATAAATACCTTTGTCCAATTTTCTTTTGTTGTTGTCTTTATATTTATAGCATCTGACTTTATTCTTGTGGTTCTCAGACAAATTGATATAGATTGTCAGTTTCTGGAAGCTGAGAATATCATGGATTACAGTCTTTTGATTGGTGTTCATATCTGCAATTATAGTAACAATGGCGAGATGAATTTGTCACCTTCTGGTAACAATTCTGCAAACTTTTCTACATCCAGATTGCAATTATTACATCTTTTTTCTGCTTCATAATATACTTTATGTGCAACTTGGTCGCACAACTCCTGAGAATACTCACTTATATACTGATAGGCAAAGCTGATGCTCAAGATTATTGCTTATGTGATGCAGAAAGTCCTGATAAGGGACATATCATTGACAAAAGGTATGCCCTGTATGCTTTCTTCTTTGGTTCCCCAACTTTAAAGGCGTTATCTCAATTTTTTCCAATCAATATAAGAAATTCTATAGTATGGAAATCTGAACACTGGGTAGGCATGTCCTCTTCTGATACCAAAAAGCACTTCATTTTCAAAAAGTGTTCAGCTGTAGTTTCTAATTCTTCTCTTCATGCTTGACCAGCATTAAGGAACAAATATGAAATATTCTTACAGAGACCTACCTCAGCAATGTGGAATTTTATTTAATTTGCCTCCATTCTCGCTATGTGCTTGGTACACAGATATGTTCAAGTGGTCTCTTTTTGGGTCACTGTTGTAGTCATTCATCTACTTCTCTTACTTGCACATGCAAACATACTTTTGGTTGTAGTACCAGAATCCAACAAGTGAAATGTTGGTACTAAAAAGACATTTGTTCATCATAGTGCACCTATTTAAGATCCTTGAACAATTAAAGAACCATTAAGATTGACATTTGTTCCTTAACCGCTGAACTGTGGATGCTTATGATTTTGTTATAAAAATAACCTCTCCTTAGAAAAAAAAAGTTATACCTATCATAAGGTCTTGGTTATGATAGCAAAGACTGCTCAGTTTGGAACCTCTATTGATCACTCTTTGAATATAAGCTGCTGCTTGTGTAGCTTCCGCATAAACTTTCTACTTTTATTAGTGCAGTTGTGAAGTTAATAAATTGTTGTTTGATTTCTATATCCCACCGTGTAGTTAATCTTCTAACCTTGATCAACACCTTGCATGTGGCTTTTATCATGTCCTATGAATTCATTATTTTTCAACCTTGAAGTAACCAATGCGAATAAAACCTCTTTCGAAAATTGCAAGAATGTTAAGAATTTCAACATGGCTCTTGTGATGTCTCAGGAATTCTCCTATAAGTTCAGCTGCAAATGTGCCTGCAAGGGCGATGTGTGTGACAAGGAGTGGAATTGAGTCAACTTCTGAACAGGGTGGCTGTGAGGCTAATAATGCTATCCTTTGCCTGGGCATCATTGACATTCTTCAAGATTATGATATCAGCAAAAGACTAGAACATGCATACAAGTCATTTCAGGTGGATCCCACTTCAATATCTGCTGTTGATCCAAAGCTCTACTCTAAAAGATTTCGAGATTTTATAAGTAGAATCTTTAAAGTAGACGAAGGGTAAGGATCATGGAAAGAGCATGTAGATAAGCTTATGGAGACGGGCAAGTGAGATACAAGAAGAGACTGGAATTAGTTGAATCGGTTAACGCCCTTGTTTGCTGATTATATGATGACTGGTTTTTGTGGAGATCTTGGCCATTGGTAAAGTGTGAATGAATGGTCTGATGAAGTTGATGATGCCCAATTTTATTTTATCCCCTTTCCCTCCCTTGCTATATATGTCAAGGATGATCAAGCTAGGTAAGTTATGTATATCATTTTTTATTTTTTTTTCTCTTTTACCTTCCTTTTGGTCACTCTCTAGTTGAGTTGAGTGAACATGAAGATTTTGATCAAATGTACAGTAAAGGAAATCTTTTTTGGTAGTATTTGTAGTTACTGTGTTCCACGACGAAATTTAATGCTTAGTTTCCTTGTTTAATTTGTGTTAGCAATGACTTATATTAAGGGAAGTTGAAGAAATGTGTTATCTATCATTTGTTGTGTTTATGGCTATTTATTATACATATATGCCTTTGACATTAATGGAGTTCCAACATGAACATGGTGATTTTGAATCACCTTACGTTAGAAGGGTATGAATGATGCTAAAGTATAATGGAAGGTGAACTTATGACATCTCATGTTGAATGCTTCATTTTTGAAGAGTCCGAACAACTTTACGAGTGATTCATACTCATAGGCATCTAAACACCCCCTACGAAAACCAACAACTTTTCTGTAACTAAAAGATGAAAGAATTGCTCTTAAATTTATATAATACTAGTCTTTGGATATGTGCGATGCGCGTGTGGCCATATAAATAAAAATATTTTTGTAAAGATCGTGTATGAACAATATTTTAAAGTTCTATAATGTGTTATAAAATAGAAAATACAAATTACATGTTCTTAAAAATGATAAGTATCCTATATGGGGTTTTGATTCTAAGATCCAAAATCCAAAAACTAATTGCAAATACCATTATTTATTTATTTATTTCTTGCTCTACTTTGAAGATGTTTTGTACTGCATAGAGCAATTTATGTAGTAAACAAATAAGCATTTTATTTTTCTCAAAATTAGCAATCATCATAAAATTATAAATATCTACTTTAACAAAAAAAATAAAATTTAAATCATGATGTACAAAGACTATCATTCTTTGTAACTTAATTTTTAAATTCAGTCAACTATAATTAGGAAGATCATTTATCCTTTATAAAATATATACCTTGAAGGTAGATCATTTAATACTCTAGTTTTTCTTTAATTTTTTGTGTTTACTGGAAAAAATAAATTATGAAGATGCTCTGTCAATCATCATTCATTTGATAGGAGTATCAACAATTACCAACGTTCATAGCGTATTTTAATAGCCTCTAACTTTGACTTTGATTGACTCCTCTTTAGAGTCCATAAAAATGGAGATGGGGACTTAAGGAAAATGAAAACTATTCTTGACTTTATATAATACTTTCACTTTAAATGATTAATTAGCTTCTTTTCACGTATTTATCATTGAAAATAACATATACTATTAGCTATGGGATTCAATGTACTGAAATCTACAGCTTTTAAGATTCTAGCAATGAAAAGGTAATGCTACTATATTTTGGTTAATGTGCAACTTAAATCTCTACCTAATTGCTCTCATTAACTAACGCTTGTCTCTCCATTTTCTTTAACGTTTAGATTATTTAATTTTCATAACTGTTCAAATATTCTCAATTCATTAATAGTAAAAAAAAAAGTTTACTTACTGCTCAATATTTTTAAAAAATAAAATAATCAAAGAATATGAATATAACATTTTTTTATTTAGTATAAGGATAAAATGGTAATTCAACTTTGAGGTTAAGAGCTTTCCACTTATAGTATAACTAGTGAATTAACTCGTGCTTCGCGAGATCGTAAAATATATGTGGTTGTTTAAACTTGAAAAATAAAAAATAAAAAATAAAAATCAAAGAAACATAAGAAATTCACATCTCAATCTCATGCCTATTCAATCATAAATTACTAAGGAGGTATTTGATTATATTTTTTTAGAGTTCAACTTCGAAAAATACATTTGACCAACAAAAATGTGTTTTCCCTATAAATTATTGATAGAAAGTCAAAAGGAGTAAAATTTGTATTATTTATAACTCCAATTTTCATAAATTATTTTTCATTTTAAAAATAACAATAATTTATTCAAATTTTTCGATGAAATGCGACGAAATTCCCATTCAATTTTCTCATTATGATCATATCCATTGTGCCCTATGAAATTATACATAAAAAATATTGAAGCAAACTCTCTTTGATGTGTTGTTCTCTTTTTACTTCCTTTTTTCTCTAGCATTTACAAAAGATAAAAGATAAATGCATAATTAAAAGAATTAACACTTCATAAAATAATTAACGATCAACCTCTTTTTCTATGTGAATTTTTGAGCAATCTTTTCTTGTTTATTGGTTTCTAAAATGTTTCCTTCAAACTTCGAACCTCAATTTACATTTGTTCCTACAAAAATATAAAATCATAGTTTATAGTTCACATTTTTCTTTTAATAAATGTATATAGAAAAGAAAAATGATATTATCACTTCTTTTGGCTTTCAAAATGAGTCTTTTAGGTTCAGACTCCAAGGATCACTTCTTCCTACAAAATATAAAATCATCGTAATCACTCATGTCTTTTATAACTTCTTTCTGAAAAATGCATATAGAAAAGAAGTTAGATATTCTTTTCATCAATTGATATAAAAGAAAATAGATAATCTCACCTTTAAAAATAGCCTGCATAATATCGCCATCACCCTCAGACTCCCAGTAATACTTCCTCTTGCAAAATATAAAATCATAATTCAGGATTCACTTGTCGTACACACTTGTGTCTTTTGAAACTTCCTTTTTGAAAAATGCATATAGAAAAGAAGTTAAATATTCTTATCATCACTTGATATAAAAGTAAATAGATAATCTTACCTTTAAAAATAGCCTACACAATGTCACTATCATCCTACGTTGTACTGATCTTCTCTATCATTTGAAATGTTTCTTATATTTAAATGCTCATATATGATGTAACTACAAAGCATAGTAATTTGGAGAGTTAATATCTTAAAAAGTCACTGAATTATAGAAAATTATCTAATAAAGTCACTGAACTTTGTTGTATATCAATAAAATCACTCAACTTAGGATTTTTATCTTTAAAAATTACCAATGTACATTTTTCATCAAAACAAATTTTAGATGACAAATTAAATTATTTTTTATGTCATATAATTATAATTATGACCTCCACAAATAAATAAAATTATAAAATCTATTAATTTCGAAAGGAACTTTAATCTCAACTCTATGAAACCAGAAAGGAACGGTAAATCAGATCCCATAATACACAGGATGCTTGGCATCAATTAGTTTCCTGAGTAATTAGGATCAGCCACTACATATATATAATAATAATAATAATAAGAAACAACAAAGTACGAAAATAAAGATGCCAAGAAAGTTAGCAAAAATCTGGGTAATTCATTATCTTTGAACAAGATGTCGATGCAGATCTAATTTGTTTGAAAATTGAGTGATTTTATTGATACAAAACAAAGTTCATGACTTTGCTAGATAATTTCTCATAGTTCAATGACCTTTTAAGATGTTAACTCTAATTTGGATGGTAAATGACATTAAATTTAGTGACTTTTCACATTTTAGTATTTATTAATTAGCAATGAAACTTAACTTTTAAATCCCATAATTACTATACATTTCCTTATTTAAGAAACAACGCAAGCAATACAAAGAAAGTAAAAGAATTTTAGTAGAAAAGATAAATAGTGAGGAATAATATAAATAGATCACCATTAATTTTCTATAATTACTGCATTAATTGCTACATTTTCTAACAAAAATGTGAACTTTTTTTTAAAAAAAACTCTAACAAAAACGTTAACAATAAAAGGAAAGTAAAATAATTTTTAGGAGAAGAGATATCAATGGTAATAATGACCATATGTTCACTTTTCAGGATTTTAGCTTTCTATTTCAGGTTAAGAATTAAATCGCGTTCAACTCCCTCATTAGTGAGGAATAATATGAATAAATCACCATTAATTTTAATGTACTATTTAAATCCTATTATAAGAGAAAATTCCCAAAAATCTGAGGAAAAAGATAATTAGAGATCCTGGCCAAAGAGGTATGCAACATGATATTTTCATATATATCATGTCTTTTAATAAATTTCTTCTGAAAAATGCATAAATAAAAGCAAATAGATATTCTTACAATCAATTCATATAAAAAAATAAATAGATTTGAGACTCCAAGTAACACTTCCTCCTACAAAATATAAAATCATAGTTTAGGGTTCACATTTCATAAACACTCATGTCTTTTAAAAAATTCCTTTTGAAAAATGCATAAATAAAAGAAGATAGTTTCTTACCATCAATTCATATAAAAGAAAATAAATAATATCACCTTTAAAAATGGCCAGTGAAATATCACCATAATCCAATGTTAACTGAGTTTCTCTGCAGTGTTTCTTAGATTTATATGTACAAATATGATGTAACTACAAAGCATAATAACTCATATGGTAAATGTCATTAAATATAATAATGACTTTTCACATTTTGCATTTATTAATTTGTAATGAAAATTACCTTTTAAATTCCATAACTACTGCATAATCCTAAATATGGGAATATTAAAAAGGTGAAAAAACTTGAATAATAAAGTTGATTAATAATTAATTAAATGATAGTCTAATTAAAGAAAGAAAAATTACGGAACCAACCAATTTTCTATAATTACTATAATTAATTGAAGGAATAATTAAATAGCTCATCATTTATTTAACGTAATATTTTAAATCCTAAAATAAAGAGAAAATTTCGAAAATTCAAAGAAAAAAGATAATTCAAAATCCTGATCAAAGAAGTATGCCACATCAGCGTTTTCATATCCTCCTTTATAAATATATATATATAGATATGATGTACAAGAAATTGAATAAATTACAACTTATATTTATACTCTTTCTACTGCCTCACAGAAGAGGTACAAACATCATATTACAACTAAAGTTTTCAAACAGTAATATAACTAACAAATTGAACTAAAAAGCAGATTTTCGGACTCTTAAAAAATACTGTCAAAAGTGTGTCGGATCTTCCCAAAGCTATGCATTTTTGGAGTGCTCGAGCAACATTTGATTTACTAGTGCTATCTTGGACCTGAGACTTGCTGTGAAGACATATAAGAGAAGGAATTGTAAGAGCTACTAGTAGTACTGCTAAGGTTCCTGTTTTGTTGATGTAACTCAAACACATTAACCTCTTGATCCCCATTGATCATCGATGCTTCAGTGAATCTACGACCATAAAATCGTAGAAAATTGAGTGATTGAACCTGTGGTGTAGCCAAAGGCAACACACCTTC